AGGGAGAGGGAGAGAGAGAGAGAGAGGGAGAGAGAGGGAGAGAGAGAAGCAGCACAGCTTGGATGTGCCTGGGGAGGGGGCTGGAGAGAATGTGTATGTGGTGACGGGGGCTAGGCTACAGCATCCCTTTCTCAAGCCAGTGAAGGGCTGGGGTTGGGGAGTCCACAGGGAGGGAGGCAGATGCCGTTGCCCTCGTGCCCAGCAGACAAAGAGGAACTGCACAACAAATGCCTGAGAAAGACAAGAGTGTGTGCGAGAGAGAGAGAGATGGATGGGCCCACAGGGTTGGGGGAGAAAGGGGGGGCCCCCAGGGAAGGCCCAATCCTCTGCCAGCTGGGGAAGCCAAGGCCTCAGAGGTCATGGGGCCCAGGACAGCGGGCAGCTTCAAGGCTCTCAGATCGGCAGAGAGCCCCTCCCCCACAGAACTCAGGCTCTCGTATCCCTCCTTTCCTTCCTCCTCCAGGAGGGAGGTCGCTCTCCAGATCTGGGGACTGACAGCCTCCCCCTTCCCAGCAGCCAGAGGGCCCTGCACAGTCTGATCTCAGGCTCGTGTTGCTCTGTGGCCCTGAGCCCTTTCAGATTCCAGGCAAAGTACTGGTATAGTCTCCCCACCTCCCCTCCCCTCCTGTGCCCCTGGGGCCCCAGCAGCCGACAGCCCTGGCTGAATCCGCCCTCTATCAAGACAAGGCCTCTGCTCCCTTCCCTTCCAGAGGAGCTGCTCACTGACGTGCTGACCTACTTTGGAAGACTAGATTTTCTGATTCCAAGAATTTGGGGGTGGGAGGGGCCGTGAAACTTTGGGCTGTCTACCCCTGGATCCCTTTCTGCCAAGGTTCCCTTAAACATTTCAGTCCCAGAAAACTTGGGACAAGCACTGCTCAGTCAGTTAATTGCACGAGCTGCGTTTGAGCAACTCAGTTTCCCTTGAAAGATAGGGAATGGGGGTGGGGAGAGCACCTGTGTAGTAAATTAATGGATTCCTCCTTTCTTCCCTCTCTTCCCCAGGAGGGAATGACCTGCACCTTTAGAAAGAGATAGGGGAAGAAAAGGTGGATTTTCTGAAACAGGTTCTGTGCGGTGGGAAAACTTCTTCGAAGAACAGGAGAGATACCCCCTTCATCAACTGGCCAGGCAAATGAAGGCCCCCAGGTGTGGAGGCGGAAGAGCTGTGATGACCGTGAGGGGGCCGCCGCATACTTTAGGAGGGGTGTGCACTGCAGCCTTTCCCACTGCTTCCACATCAGTCCGGGAGAGAAGGGTCAGCGACGGGCACTCAGGCACCCCTCCCGTGAACTGTCTCAGCCACGCCCAGTCCTGCAGGGGCTGCTTTTCAGTGCTGATGTTAACCCTGCCTTGATTTTCCCCTGTCCCTCTCTAAGGTACAACAGCTGCTGACGTCTAGAATTCTCAAAACACAGATGAGGGGTTTCTGGCCTCCACTTTCATTCAAAAACCATCCTGTGCAGAGGACTCTTCTTATCTAGGAAGGGCCACCCTGCTGAAAGCAGGGAAAAGCTTGGTTCCATAGCACAGTGAAGCCAACACCCTCAGAAGTTTTCCTCTAATATCCAACATTCTCCAGAGACAGGACTGAAAAGAGCTCCATGGGATTTCCCCAGCCGGCTTCCTAGCTTCTCATTTGCCTGCCTTAGGGCAGGAACTTTTGCATCTGAGTGTTCCCCAGCACCAGTGCAGGGTCCTGAGAACAGGTGTTCCTCAATAGTGGTTTTCTGAATAGGCTTAACTGAGCAGGAGGTAGGAGGACTGGCTGGCTCCTCAGAAAGGCCATGACTTTAGTTCCAATAAAGTCTCTTTCAACTAAATCAGTCCACTTGATCCCTGTTACTCTGTCCAGCATGTAACAGGTATCAAATGCCTGTACCCATTCCAACGCCTTCCCTCCTTAAATGCGAAAGGGGTCAGAGTCAACTTCTTACCTTGACATTATGCAGGTGTTGTCAATGACTCTCATATGTGTGTCTGACCCATCTTGCTATCTCCCTTAGCGCATGCCCATAATTCCTCCATTGATCCCACTTTAAGGTAAAAAAATAAACTATAGGTCATTTCTACAATGGTGCCTGGATTACTGACGGGGATACGCATCACCTCAAAACCCAATTCTGGCTCCCTTACCTCTTACAATCACTTCCTGCCCTAACATTCTAATGGTCCAAAAAATGATTCCTTCCATCGTAGAGACAAACTCTGTCCCAGGCCCTTTCCTACACCCTCAGAGAGAGAGCCAGATGAAGTTCCTCATTTCTTTTCATCTTGTGAAACTCTAAGAGGATCCTGATTACTTTCATATCCCTAAAAGCCACCCATGCTACAAGGAGTGATCTCTTCTCCCTCAGTAAGAGTATTTGGCAGGTATAAAAAGCTCCAACGTTATGATCACGGAAAGGATTGGGGGAGAATTGGGCTCTCTACCTCTCCTTCAAAGGTATAAGCTCTTGGCCCACTGGCTGAATTCAGACCATAGATAAATTTGGCTTCTTGCCCCATGGAACATTTTTTAAAATATGGAGTTATTATTTTTAAATGGATACATTTCACATAAAATCCTGATTTCTGATTTCTTTTGAAAAGCTAGAAGTTTTGGCCATACTGGATACACATTCCCACATGGCAATGCCTGTTGGACCCTGCAGAGCTGCTGCTCCTTGAGGTAGGACATGTGCTCTCCAGTCATGACAGTCCCCATCATTCTCTTCTGCTCATTATCCAAAGCCAGTTCACTCTTTTACATACACACCTGGCCCATGCAGGCCTTTGAGGTTTGAAACCTGGCTCTGCTCTCTACCTGGCTGGGACAGGATGTTGTGCTGTGTTTAGCTGGTGACCTCAGAGCATAGAAGAAGGGATCTTATCTTCCTTCTGTCTCTTTGTTTCAAATCAGTCCTCTCTCTAATAGTCTCTACTCATATTCCTCTCCTATTTCCTTCTCCTACTCCTATCCTCCAAGATGTCTGGAAAGAGAATCACTTTATAGGGAATGTAAAATGACCAAAATAAATGCACACTACCAAGAGTGAGTGACAGCTCTGTGACCAGGGCACTCAGAGGTCCTGTGCTAGGCTGAAGGCTCTCCACTCTCCTCCACAGGAGAGCATCTGCTCCCAGCCCCTTACAAACAGAATGCACAAGAGGGCATACCAGACATATAGGAGCGGCCATTGCTGTCTTCTATGTCCATCTTAGAGAGATTCTGCTGGAAGAGAAAACAGCTACTATTAGAAGCCAGATCTGGAAAGGGAGTAGGTTTCTCTCTAACATTCTGGAGTTAGCAAGAACCCTAAAGGATCACTTAAGTGTGCTCTGACCCTATCCTAAAGAAGCAAAACCTCATACTTTGTCCTGGAGAGAAAGACGATGTACCCTGACTTAACAAACCCCAGGGTCTCCTCCAACCTCCAACTTCTGCAGGCTTCCCCAGTCTCTCAGGTGGAAACACTGTCTTATTCTACACCGGTCCCTGATTGTGTTGTTTGGAGAGTAGACCCTCTCCCTGTAAGTGGAGCTGATGGTGTAGGAAAGGAGACAGTTTACAGCTCAGCTCTCATGAGGCAAAGAAACAACCCCATAGAGGCTCTAAACCTTGTTAAGGATGGGGTAGCAATAGGAGGAAGAAGCTAGATTCAGTCATTCAAGGGATACTTTTTTGGGTGGAAGGAGGGAGGGGGACAGGAAAGTAGAAGATAGAGGAGAGCAGTCCACCTCAAGTTCAGAGAGGAATCCTCTACTGAAGGTGTAATAGTCAAATTAAACCTTTAAGTGTTTCCCCCCTTCTTGTCAATTACTTTGCTATGTTTATTTTTTTAAAAGGGGAGTTGGGGTGGGAACCTGAATTTAAAATGCAGGTTAGTCTATTTGAAGGAAGGCAAACAGTAACTGGCAGTAGAGTATTAAACAATCAAGAACTGAGGATAATTAAAAGTGATAATTTGTTGCAATGAATTATCTCAGGAGCCTGTGGGAGGAGAAAAAAAATTCTATTTGGTAGAAATTTACATACATCCAAAATTGCTTTCACCAGTCATCTCATGAAAAATAAATACCCCAGGGGCAGATTTGGGGGAGCTAGAGTGGGGCGAGGGAACAGCCTGAGCTGCTACCCAGATTCTTGGTCTCTTTGAAGGATCTCACTGAGGCAGATGGATGGAAATCTGGTTTGCTGGTAATACTATATTGATAGAGCTGGGGATGGGGGCTCTGGAGGGCACACAGGGGAAAAGTGTCTATCACCCTGTCTCCCTCTCACCACACTCCAAGTCATTCTTGTCTAGTGCTGAGAGACATCATACTCTAAAAAGTCTCATGAGAAAGCCTGACACACGGGCTCTCCTTCACTTCGCAAAGCAGCTCTCCCTAGATTTCATTAGAGAGATTTCTAGTCTCACCTAGGACGCCTGGGTGTGGAAGAAATAATTCTCCAAGTTTATTTTCAACTCCTCTTTTCTTGACATCCTCCCCGGGATGGACTGAGCTTTGGGACCAGACTGCTAGACCAAGCCACAGTAAGAAGCAGTTCCTTGAAGGTTCCCTTAGGGGCAATGACGAGAAGAGCCCAAGTCCACAGTGGTTAGTGAACTCATACCCTCTGGAACTAGCCATGGAATTTGCGGTGGTCAGAGATGGAAATATGAGGGAACGCGGTCTGGTACTCATGGGGCCCCTTTCATTTCTTAATCATTAGCTCCATAATTGCCCTTTGGGATTTTGCAGAGCTCAAGACACCACACGTGACTTCCCACCCCCACCCCACCCCAATGCAGGAGAAGCAAGAGTGAGTAGGTTTTTCCCCATTTTCTGGAGAAACTGAGGTTCAGAGCAGCTAAGTGACTTGTCTCAGGGCTCATAGTGAGCCTGGAACAAGGAAAAGAACCGAAGTCTCCTGTCTCTCTGAGGTGTGCTTCCTTTCAAAAGCCAGGGTACTCAAGGCCTTCATGGATCTTCTTGCTTTTCCCTGGTTCTAACATCTTTTCCTTTGGTGTGATCCCCGTGGGAGTGGGGTCTGTTACTTGAAAAGTAAGAGCAGGGACTTCCCTGGTGGCACAGTGGTTAAGAATCCACCTGCCAATGCAGGGGACACGGGTTTGATCCCTGGTCTGGGAAGATCCCACATGCCGCGGGGTGACAAAGCCTGTGTGCCACAACTACTGAGCCTGTGCTCTAGAACCCGCGAGCCACAACTACTGAGCCCGTGTGCCCCAACTACTGAAGCCCGTGTGCCTAGAGCCCGTGCTCCACAACAAGAGAAGCCACCACGATGAGAAGCCCACACACCACAACAAAGAGTAGCTCCCGGTCACTGCAACTAGAGAAAGCCTGCGCGCAGCAACGAAGACCCAACGCAGCCAAAAATAAATAAATAAGTAAATTTATTTATTAAAAAAAAAAAGTAAGAACAAATTGAGCAGGCTCTGTGGGGAGAAATATCCTAATGCAATTGTGTGTGTGTGTATGTGTGTGTGTGTGTGTGCGCGCGCGCGCATGTGTGTGTATGAACGGGGAGCTAGACAAGCACTAGGTGAGCGGAAGAGTTGAAGCACAGCATTCAGCTATGCTGAATACTGGCTCAGGAAGTGCATCTCATTCTTGGACACCTGCCCAAATGGCCCCAAAACAATTTCCAGAAGGGTCTGAAGGAGTTGTTTTCTGAGTTGGACTTTGTTCCTAGAAGTAAACTGAGCTCTTCTGTTTCTTAATTTTTCTTAACAGGTGCTCCATGACACATCTTGGGCAAAATCAGTCTTTAGCTGTCTCCAGCTGGTCTAAATGCCAAGTTGGTAGCCCTGGGAGTGAGACTGGACTGAGATTCTGCTGTTCCCGATCCTGGTATTCTGAGAGCCAGGAGCACATCAGGAGATGTACTTCACTGTTTGCTCAAGTCTTCAGGCAGCATATCCCTCTCCACCTTCCCACTCCCTGCCCCTCAAAGAACCTTCTCCCCTGCCTGGCCTGCCAGGAAGATCTTAGTGTCTCCTTAGAGGAACTGGGTCAAATTAGGCAGTGCCAACTGGAGACACACCACAGCGGGAGGAGGCATAAAGAGGGAGAAGTTAGTGACACAAGACAGGTTTGGTTCAAAGATCTCAAAAGGAAACTGGCTTTAGAGCAACACAGACACCATTCAGTGATGGACGCAGGCACATATGTACTGTAAATTCAGTTCAGTGAGCTGAATACAAAGCAACTAGAAACAGCCAGCCTCCCAATTCAAAAGGAAGTATTTTTATGAGGAGGGAGGAAAGGTTGGTCATTGTAACCTGAGACAAAGACTTTCTTCCCTGTTCTTTTGAATGCACCTGGCACCATAATAAGAATCCTCCATGGCCCTGGCTTTCTTCCATCAACATGATATCACATTTAAACAGGAATGGGCAGGAATGGGTATCCCTTCCAGACAGAAGATTTCCCACCACACTTCCTGAGAAGCAGCAGGTGAGACCAATCCAAGGTCTGACTTCCAAGGTCAGGCATCAGCTACCACCCTCATCTCCCCCTCTCCGCAAAAATGTTCCCACAGCTCTAACTATTGGTGAAAAAAATATCAGAAAGTCAAGTTTTCTCTATGTAGTGGCTCTGAAAGCCTATGGACATCACAAGTAATTAAAGCTCTTCAAATCCTCTAAAGAATCCTGTTTGATCCAGTGAAACGCCAAAATTGGAATTTAAAACACACTCCATGTGGCTTAGTGGGTAGAAAGGTAGTGAGGAGGATGTTGTTGGGAAAGAGCGTGAAAGTGGAGAGAGGGGCAAGGATCCATGCCATCCTTTTGGTTGCAATAGGGAGGAGGGGAAATTTTTTTCTCTGGTCTCTCTTAGGATCTGGGATCTGAGGTGGAGCCCAGTGATTTAAAAAAAAATTTTACTGGGGTATAGTTGATTTACAATGTTGTGTTAGTTTCAGGTGTACAGCAAAGTGAATCTGTTATACATATATCCACTCTTTTTTAGACTTTTTTTCCCATATAGGCCATTACAGAGTATTGAGTAGAGTTCCCTGTGCTATACAGTAGGTCCTTATTAGTTATTTATTTTATATATAGTAGTGTGTAGGCGTCAATCCCAATCTTCCAATTTATCCCTCCCCTCCCTTACCCCCCTCCCCCAGTAACGATAAGTTTATTTCCTACATCTGTAACTCTATTTCTGTTTTGTAGATAAGTCCATTTGTAGCTTTTTTTTGGTTCCACATATAAGCGATATCATATGATATTTGCCCAGTGATTATGAACAAGACAGATCTTCCGACCTGCCTGGGATTGAGCAGTGCAGGTACTAGAAGTGGACCAAACCCAAGCATCATCCTCTCCTGTCTGTGCCTTCCTGAACTGAATGAAATCTCAGCCAAAAAAATGTTGGAATCACAAAGCTGGCTCTGCTCTCTATCAGGACTTTGAATAACTGGGGAGGGGGAAAGGGTAAAGGGTTGAGAGAAGAGGTGGAATTAGGTATTGTCTGCAACCTGACTACACGCCCCTTTCCAGGAACCAGACCTAGACATTGAGCGATTTGCAGCTCTGAAGTGATCTTTAGGGTCAACCTAGTGCCCTCTGAAGGAAACCCACCAACCTTTTCTCAGCTTATGTGTCTGTATTTACAGCAGAAAGATCTGACTCATTTTCACCAGGTTGTAGATAGTGACCTGTTTACTTATACCACAGACGAGGACAGCTCAGCTTTGTTATCCAAGTGCTTGGGGAGCAGTGTGGAGGGATGAATTCCCAGGTCACCCTAGGAATGGCCAGTCTCTAAAATAAGAAGGGGTAAGAGCTGGAAACACAACACCTGGGCAGTGGGAAAATATCACCTCATTGTCTCCTTTTAGCTCTCAGTTGGATGCATCTTTTCTCTTGTTCTTTGTGCTTCCCTGGCCTCCCCACGTAGACTGCGGAAGAGAGAGAAGGCTAAGGTTTATGGGTGGGAGGAGAAACAATCTCACCCCTCCCATGTGTCATTTCAGGACTAAGGAAAGGGCCAAACTAAACAGTTTAAATCACCAGGTGTGATGCACATGAGATGATACTTTCTGGGGTTTTTGGGTATACCCTTGAGTACATAAGCCCTGTGTTTATAGAAAGGCTCCACAAGGTCACTGCTGTTCAGCTGTACCTTTTGGCAGGGGTGGGTAAAGTAGAGCAGGGCAGTTCAATTTGAGTTTTATAATAATAGGTTTTGAAGCCAAAGATGCCCAAAACAGGGTTTACCATCTCAAGTGAAGTTTGAAATGACATGGAAGTCTCAATTAACTATTCTGATTGGGGTAGGGTGGCAAAAAGGTGGAAGAGACAGAAACAATTGCCTTTGGTGTCAGTCCTGGCCAGAAGTCCCTAATACATGGTGACCAAAAGAGCTCACTGTTGTTTGGGCCAGGAAGATGTTTTCAGGCTCCTCTGCTAACGACGAATCTTGCTCTGACAATCCAATTTAGTAAGCCTCTGTTCATTTGGAGGGCCTGGGGCAGGGGTGCTCCAGGACCTAGAGAATCTTGGAGCTAGAATGGATTTGAGAGATGATCTCCAATCTTTTGGTTTTTAACAGAAAAGTTAAACTAAGCCCAGAGTCACCTATCTGGTTAGCGATAGAAGTAGGACAAATAGAACCCAGGTTACCAGTCTGGGCTTCTTTCTACTACAGCACAAAATCAAATCTTGCCATAGCAAGGTCTGGGGCTCCTCTGCTTGCCTTCTTACTTGGGTGATGAAATGGACAGTTTTGGGGTCTCCATCTTAGTGACTTAAGTCCTTGAACTACAAACACAGGTCTATGGATGGGAAAAGAAATAATCCTCTTCCTCCCATGTCTGTTTTCAGAGATTATGGGCCTGAGGAAAAAGCCAACCTAGACTCTCACTAAATCTCTTTAATGTAGGAACAGGGCTCCTTGGCTCAAGGATTAGACCAGCATACGTATTCCAGCAGAGTCTGCAAGGTCAATGACCCTTGGGGGGGACCAGGCCATTCATATCAGCACTACCCTTTCTTAGATGCTTTCCTCTGAAAGACCTTGAACCTGTCTCTCTGTTTCCAATACAGAGTCCCCAACTCTTCTGAGAAAAGGAGGCAAATGAAAGAGCCTGGAATTCAGAGCTTTCTCCAGCAGGGTCAAGAGACCAACAAAGGGAGTCCCTCTGCCTGTGGCATTGTCTATACCCACAGAGTTCCACACTCCTATTTGTTCCTACGGAGTGAAATGAGGCTAGAAATACCTGCCCTACAATAACTTTTTATTTTTCCTTGACTATTTTTTTTGTGTGTGTGTGTTGAGGGAAGAGAGATGGCCAGTCAGGGAGGAAATAATTTCTTTGTGGATGTTGGGTGGGGAAGGTAGGATAAAAGATGGGATAATGTTCCTCCCATGCTGGGCAGTACTAAGCATGTACTAAGAGGAAATAAGGAATAAACTTTCAGTTGCATTTTCCACTGGAAAAAAGTCACAACTTATTTCTGAGCCAAGTCCTCCAAACCTACTGAGAGTAAGGGGATTGCCCAGAAGCTACAATTGAACTAACTAACTGCACTCAGTGGGCAACAAAAACATTATGTTTTGTGCTTGAGACATCAGCATCTATTGAGTAGGACACGATATAATTCTGAAGCTGCCAAATTGAGGGCAGCTCCCACCATCCTCAGGCCCATCCCAGAAGCTCCACTGAGACCTCTTCTGCTTCCCAATGGTAAGGCTATTTTCTTCTTTAAAGACTTTATTTTTATCTCAGGAGCCACTCTTTTGACAGTTCTCATGACCCAGGGAGCAGTCTGGATTCTCTGAATTAGGCTGTAAGTGGGGAAGGCTGAAGTCCCCTGCACACCACAGAGCAAGATTCACCGACCTACCGGCAGACCCATGAGGAGATGAAGAATTCCCAGCTGGGCATTTCACATACCCCTACAAATAAGATGCTACACCCAAAGGGTGTCTGATTTGGCCTTTTATCTGGTCTTGTCCTCAGAATCTGAGTTATCTTAAGTGGAAATATTCTAGGTAGTCAGACACCTGCTTTTATTGCTTCCTAAGGACATGGACATGTACCTTCACCCAGACAAAGTGAACAAGTAGCATCAAGGGGAAACAGCCAGGGCTCAATAGTCTGCTGCTTGGCCATGATGTCGGAAGGCCTAGAGCTGACCTATGAGCAGGTCACAACCATACCATGCTCACCACTGATGCTTTGAGGGCTCGGACCGGGGAGACTGGAGTATACCTGGAGCTATAAGACATGTAAGTGGGGGTGGATAAATCACAACAGTAGGCAGTTTTGCTTATAGAAGGGACTGAGGTGAAAGAAGGTGTGCAAACTTTGACACAATGTGGTTTGTAATACATCAAATCTTCCTAGAAGCAGAGTCAGTAAATTCATGACCTTGGAGGGGAAACGGGGTACCATATTTCCTAAACATCTCATATCTAAAGGTCCATGTTCCCACTAAACATTGTCACCAGACAGGACCAGTCATAATTTAAAAAAAAAGAAAAAAAAGGATAGAAATCAAACAGTGAGAATCTACAACTACAAGGGGGAAGACAATAACTGTGGATGGGGCTGCGTGAGGAGGTACAGGGAAGGCTGTTTTAGTTTAGACCTGCTTCCCAAGTCTGTTGTACCCTCTGGTGGTCTGCCCCAGGGCTTCCTCTGTGTTTCTTCCTTAGGGCTCCTACGCAATGAATCTCTTCCATCCCAACCTTGCTTCTCAGGTTCCCTGGACTTTTCACCCTACATAGTACCCCAGACAGCACTTTTCGCTCCACCCTAAGTTTCTTCTCTACCACATGTTTCTCCCACTCTGCTCACTGCCTCCCAGCCTTCCCACTTAGGCCTATGTCTTTCTCTCTAACCTTCTTGACGGACACCTTGCCCCCACCCAACCCCGCGCCGCCTCTCGCTTCTTTGCCCAGGTACCCAGTCTAATTCTCCTTTCTCCGTCCTGTCCTTCTGTTCTACCCCAGCTGTCCTGTCCTTCTGTTCTACCCCAGCTGTACCCCACGAAGGAGCCTCGCGCACACCAGCTCCCGCCTGTCCTCGGTCCTCTGCCGTGACCCATCTCCCGCCCTTTTAGGACGCCTAGGTCCCTGCTACGTCCCCCTCAATCCTGTGGCCTCGCGCCAAACCCTCCAGGCCAGCTTCCTCCCTTGGGCCGCAACCCACCCAGCGACCCTCTTCCCGCCTGGCCCCCACCCACGTGTCCCCCTCCCTTCACACCCAAGCCCCTCAGGCCCCGCCCCGGCGGCCGAGGCCCCGCCCCTCGCGCTTCGCCCAAACCCCGCCCCTCACTCACCTGAGGGAGCTCCGCGCGCGCGCAGGCTGGGTGGGAGAGGGAGAGGGTAAGGTATTGGGGGAGGAGGGGGCGGGGCGGCGGGGGTCCCCCACTCTGGCCCGGGCGGCCCAGTGCGGGGGGAGTGGGGTCACTGAGCCGGCCGCAACCGGGCCGGAGGCGGGACCCGGGCGCTCAGGGGCGGCGGCGGCTCCATCTCCATCAACGGCTTCACCTGAGGAGGGACGGACCCCCCCCATAAACCCCCCCAGCACGGCTGTCCCCCCTCCCCCGAACAACTTCCGGCCCCACTACCAGGCGACAGGCGGCGTGGCTGAACACCGAGCGCCCACAAGCCGGGGAGACAAGGGAGGAAGAGCTAGGGGAGAGTAGCCGAGCGCCGAAAGATTCAAGTCCTAAAGGCGCGGTCGCAGGCAAAGGGTAACTAAATGACTGCCCCTTCATCTGCATCTACGTTGCAAACAAGGCCACGGTTGGACGCCCTAGTTGCCGTGGCACATCTGCCCCTAGTGCCAAGTTTTGCCTTTGCCGCCCCTAAGACAATATTGATTTTGACCTCTTGGCATTCTTTGCTTTTCCTGCCAAATGCGTAGGAATTGTGTGGGGGAGGGGCTTAAGGATGCCAAATCAAAAAAAATTTCCTCTCTTGGGGGGTATCCTGAGGTCATTCACCTAAGTAGCCCCGCACATACTGAGACTTCAGAGAAGGAAACCCCAATCTTGACTTCCCCGCCCCTGCTTCCTTTTTCCCTTCCCCCCACCTTGTTTGTTTTGGGCTGTCTCACTATATCCCAGTACCAATTCAGTGCACCGCCCTCCTGCAACTTGCTCACTCCCCAGCCTCAGTAAGTCCCAAAGGTCACAATCTTTTTTTGCTTTTTCAGAGTGGTAGTCTTAAACAGATATTTTATTGATGTATTTAGAAAAGTGGAACAATAAAGGGAGAGAGTTGCGCCCTTCACAACCCCTGGCAACCTAGAGACGTAGTAAAAAGTTGCATATACACTTATCTTACACATATCCTCACACATTCTCTGAAGAATCCAAGAAGAAAAGCAAAATAAGGCCTCAGTGGTGACAGTCATTAGAAATGGAGATAGGGTAGGTAGAGAAAATAGCACTTACTTCCAGAATTACTTTTCCTACTTCTAGCCCTTTGCTCCAGCAGCTCTTACCTCCTCTAAGGCACTGGGTCAGCGGCCAGGAGGGGTATGTAACACCTCCAGTCAAAGGGGAGCAGGTGCCTGGGTGGAAGTGTGCAATGCATGTACCTGTGTGTGGCTTCAGAAGGCATAGTCAGGGTTGTGATCCAAGACATGGAGAGGTGGAGGGAAGGATTTTTTGTGGTAATGAGGCCAAGGGATGGGTGTGGAAAGGGGTTTAGAAGGTGGTTCTGGAGAGTAGATGGTTCCATTTCACTTTCTCATGGAGCAACATGGACATGGACACGGTGCCAGGCATTGCTGAGCACGCCTCGCAGGTTCCAGATTGGGGCCACTGTGTCTGGCTGAACATTGTAGCTGTCATCTACAGCCTTACAAACGATGTTCAATTCTTTCTTCCCAGCTGGCACAGGGGCTTGAAGCTGCCATAGCCGCCAGGCCCAGGCCTTTCGGGCATGCTGTTCCTCTCCATCCAGCTCAGCCACCTGCCAGGTTAGGCCCCCATCCAGAGACACATCCACCCTGACCACAGCTCTTCCTCCACCACTCCATGCATAGCCTTTGACAGTCACCTCCCCTGACTCTATTGTCTCCCCATCTTTGGGCTGTGTGATGGCTGACTGGACAGGAAGTTCCTGAATAGATGGAGCCGAGTCAAAATCTACAGTGTCCCAGTCCACACATGGAGAGAAGCCTTTGTAGTCCCGCCGCTGCCAGTGGCTGTAACTTTCCTCTGGTTCCACGCTCACTTTGCCCAGCCATTTGACATGGCGGGCACCCACCACACCAGGAACCACCACCCGCACAGGGAAGCCATGGTCACGAGGCAGAGGCTGCCCATTCATCTCATATGCCAACAGGACCTCAGCTTCAGGGTCCATGGCCCGAGCCAGAGGGATGGATGCTCCATAGGCAGTCCCTGTGGGGTCTGAGTCCAGTCCCTCAAAGCAGACATGGGCCTCAGTTTCAGAGAGCTGGTGACCAGCCTGGGCTAACACATCACAGAGCCGTGCCCCAGCCCAGCGTGCAGTGCTAATGGCCCCTGCACTCCACTCCAGACCTCTTACTTCTTTGAACCGAGTCATCTCAGAGCGCCGGTTGCCAGCACACTGCAGAGTGACAGTGATCTCGTGCTTGGGGAACTGGTACAAGTCATCCAGGGATAGGCACAGTGACTGACCCCCAGGTGGCCCTACTACATGTAGGCGATAGGTGTCTGGGTCAAGGTTAGGTACAGGCAAATGATTCCGGGTGAAGAAGATAGGGTTGGGTGTGATATAGTTTTCTGTCAGCAGCTCAGGGGGGGGCTCCGCATTAAAGGGGCGCTGGCTGTTGACCTTCAGGGCTGGGTGACGTATAGGATCATCAGCGTAAGGGTCAGAGGTCTTCAAGATGGAGGCTGCCTTGTCATCGGGGCTCAGCTCCCCAATCTTGTACTGAGCCAGTATCTCTCGCACGTGGGACTGGTTGTGAACAGCATAGAGGGCCCAGAAGGGCTCTAGAGGACCCCCGGCTGCTAGCATCAGCTTTGATGGACCCCCTGGGTGTAGGTCCACAAATTCTGTGACATCAAAGACCTCAGAGCCCAAAGTCACCCAGATCCCAGTCTCAGGGCTGCTGTGGGATCTCACTTCCTCCCTCGTGTATAGGCGTGGTGATTCCTCAGCAGCCTGCAGGCAGGGCAGGGGTGAGGCGCAAAAGGGAACAAAATGTTAAGAAGAAATCACTCACTTCACCCTGACCCAACCCACAAAGTTGTGGCCACTGGGAAATGGAGGTAACAAATTCCATCTCTACTGTGCATGAAGCAGTGTCACCGTGGCTCTGTGGTAAAGCCTGGGTTGCCTGGGCAGCTCACTATGGCCCCTTTGTTCTGACAGTGAAGTCCCTTCCTTCCCTACTTACCCTGCACCGGTGGTCATGATAGGCCAACACTGCACCAAGCCCTAGAAGAGTCCCCATTACTCTCCATCCCCTGGTGCTGGAGTTATCACCAGAGATGGCATGGCTGGAGCACTGTGGCTGAAATGAATCATTCGTAGAGCAGGCCCGAATGCAGAGCCTTGAAGGGGCTGACTTGAGTCTGGAAGAGAGAGAAGTCTTCTTAGTAGCACACTTCTGATCATAAGAAAGGGCTAGGGAAGGCCTGGGGTGTACCTCTCCCAGGTTAGCCATTGGTTTCTTCAGTTGGGACTTAGTTTCTCAGGGATGGGTGGGACAAGTGGGACATGGCTTTCCCTTTCCTCCCTGGCCACTACCTCAACCATCTTAATCTGGCAGATAAGAGTCATAAAGGTACAGGGAGTAGGAGATATGGGCTAGGAACTGGATGGCCTACCTGTAGGCCTGTCGGAGCCCTGGGACCACAGTTCTGTGCAGCAGCAGCATTACGGCAGACCTAGGATAGGAGGAAGATTCCAGGATCAAGACAGGGAGTCCTGCATCAGGGATGAGATTAGGGTAGCTTGAGGGAATGGGTGGGAGGAAGACACAGAGATCAGCTAGGAGCTCTCTGGACAAATGGGTAAGACTTTTTCTGTGGTAATGAGGCCAAAGAATGGAAGTGGGGGTCCAAATGGGCCCTTAGAGAAAACTTGGAGAACTTCGGAGACAGAATATGCTGACAGGATGGAAAGGAATGGGGGGTGGGAGTCTCCTAGAATCACCTGTCTCCCATCCTCCACTCTCTACTTTGTCCACTGCAGAGAACAATGGGGGCCAGGGCCTAAAGGGCAGAAGCCAAAAGTCTACTGTCCAGTTTGCCAGTTTATTATTAATTTATTTATTGTTTATTTTATTTTATTTTTGGCTGTGTTGGGTCTTCATTTCTGTGCGCGGGCTTTCTCTAGTTGCAGCGAGCGGGGGCCAGTCTTCATCGCGGTGTGCAGGCCTCTCACTGTCGCGGCCTCTCTTGTTACGGAGCACAAGCTCCAGACGTGCGCAGGCTCAGTAGTTGTGGCTCATGGGCCTAGCTGCTCTGCGGCATGTGGGATCTTCCCAGACCAGGGCTCGAACCCATGTCCCCTGCATTGGCAGGCAGATTCTCAACCACTGCGCCACTGGGGAAGCCCTTGCCAGTTATTTCTGAAGTCAGCAGAGGACAACCGCGGGGTGTACTCACTTAAAGAGAGACAAAAAGGTGAAAAAAGAGTGGGAGGTGAAGGAGCTCGGATGCTGGAGTCAAACTGCTTTGCTTTTATAAAACCAGTCCTGCCCTTAACCAGCCCTGCTCCTGGGCAGGATACCAAGCCTCTCTGAACTTGTGTCCTCATCTATGAAATGAGATCTACCTAGCAGAGAGGCTGTGATGAGCAAACAAGTAATAGCATTATCATTGAAGGCTTTTCCCTCCACCCACCCTAAAAAAATAAAAATTGAACCCGGCTGGGAACTGGACCCCAATCTGGACCAACCCCAACCCCTACCTTGTCTATGCCATTCCAGTGAGCTCAGCAAATTGAGGAGTTAATGGCCAGGATGTCAGGGGATGGGCTAGAGAAGGAAGAGGGTAATTTTTCTGCTCTGGCCTGCAGCAGTTTCTTCCTTACAGCACTGAGCAGATCACTGACCCCAGGAGGGCCAAAGCAGGGAGGGGTGAGAAGAGTCAGAACTGCTGATGAGATGCTAAAGAGGGGTGCCAGCACAGAAACTGCGAGGAAGCTAGGAATAGGAGCAGAGTCTGCATTTTACTCCTGGGCCTTGGGACCCTCACTCTCCCTCCCACTTTCCCTCAATCCCAGCAGCCCACTATAACCAGACTGGAGCAGTGCAGGTAGAGCTGACTTGTAGGTGAACTCGGCCAGCCCCGTATCCCAGGTTTGGGAGAGGCAGTCTTCTGCTGCAAAACGGAGGCCACCCCCTTGTGCGGGTGGTGGCCAGTCACTCCGCAGGGTCACTTTGGGTAGAACATGGATATGTCCAGCACCGGGGCCCACGCACCCGGTTCCATGTCACTGCCCAACAGCTGGCCCAGGAGTCTCTTGTAGCAACGCCCCGCCGCGGCCCAGGAGCACAAAGCTAGCGGGAGTGGAGGCAGGTACTGTCAGTTTTACTGTCCTCAGAATTCGGAGCACCCCTGGGTGCCAAGACCGCCGCCGCCGCCCAGGTTACTAACCCTGCTTCCTCCTCTTCCCTTTCCCGGCCCCAGCCTCCTTACCCAGCTCGGCGTCCGCACTGTGGCTCTTTTACTCGCTCAGCGCCCAGCGGCTGCCGGCGAAAGGGCGGGGCCTGCGCCGTGACGTTGTGCCGGAGTAAAGGACCACTCTCTCCCCTCGGCTCGTCCCCCAGCCATTGGCGGGCGGCGGGCCGCCTCCCAGCTGCTGTGCCCGCCTCCTGGAAGCCGAGGCAGGCGGCGCGCCACCTGGGCTCGGAGCTAGGACGGGCTGTTTTTGCTTCCACCCCCGCCAGACGAGGAGTGGGACCTCATGATGTCCGGAACCCGGGCAGTGGAAGGTGATGAGGACTCCAAAGGTTGGGCTGAGAGATGTCCCCGACCCGCCCCACCAGCTGAGACACAAGGTGCTTTCACTAGAGGCCTCGGGATCCAGCCGGCTTTCTCCCGGTGGTGAGCTCCGTCTCTAACCTATTTTTTGACAAACGCCTGTGTTGCAACTACAACAGCCCTGTTTGCCTTTTAGAGAAAACAAGATCAAGCGCTCAATTCTTTTATGTCCAGGAATGAGATCAGAAATGGGGCCTAAAATGGTGGTTCAAAGCCTTCGAGATCCCTTGGACCAGCTGCATTTCTCCTCAAATTATAGAACCAACAACACTAAACAGACATCTTTTTAATTTTGCTTAGTTGTCAATTTATTTTAAAAAGTCGTCACTTGATGACATTTTAACGCCCCAAAGTAGGAAGATTGTAACTGCTCATGTCAGAATAAAGGATACTAACAGAAATTGTTTGCTATTACCCTTTTATCATTTGGTGTGGGAGTGAAAACTTGTCATTGGCTAGCTGTGGACCCGGGGCAAACGTATCCACGCTGCCCTCTAGAGACTAGAAGGTTGAGTTAAGTGAAGATCATTTCCCCTGCCTTTCTGCTTTCCTAAACTGAACTAGAAGAGCTTTTTACTAGGAATGAAGAAGCCGTGCGGGAGTCCTAAGAGATATACAGTAAGGGGAATTGACAGTGAAAAGGTGATTTTGGCTCTAAGGTTTTTGGAAAAAGAAAGATTCCCAACTCAACTGTGTATAGTTAAATCATCGGAGAGGCCTGACGCCCAACCTATCCTACCCAGGATACAGAGAAGTCAGTTAAGGACTGTCTGAAGCCATGGGATGAGACTTCTGCCCAATAACAGTGTCACCCTACATAAAGCCACACACATGCTTTATATAATTGACGTTTAAATCTCAAATTTTCTTCATTTTACAGAAGAATCTGAGGCAGAAAGCAGCTAAGTAACTTGATCAAGACCACAGCTGGTAAATTGTCAGAGATGGGACTGAATTCCAGGCTCTGTCTTTCCTGTCCTTCAGATTCTTTGGAATTCAAAACTCCTCCTGCAACCATACCTAATCTTTTCTCTGTATCATTCCCCCCCACCCACTTCCACTTAGACTTCGAGGGACTGAAGGCTTCAAGTACAGCAAGAAACGAGCAGAATTTCCTGTTGAAATTTTCCTGTTGGGGTAGAAGCCACATGATCAATCAATAATGTTAACTCAGTGATGTTTAAAAAACTTTCTTAGGTCATGGACCCCTTTGAGATACTAATTAAGGCAGTGGGCCCTCTCCCTAGAAAGCTACACATAGATATTTGCATAATACTTCAAAGTATTCACAAATACCACCTCTCCCTCCAATCTCATCAATTGTCTGCCCAGAGGTCCATAGACCACCACCCCCTTCCATGTATACAATGTTAGGATGGCCTAAAAAAATAAGCTAGGAACAGATTTGGTGAGCTCTCTAGTGGCCTGGGAACAGGAGTGATTAAACAGCAATAAAGGGCCTATTTTCCAAATTGGGTTATCTCACTATTCAAGAAAATATTAATGAGAATAAGGAGGTACCAGGATGCAAGGGAGGGTGTGTTTCTGATTTAATAAAACATTACTGGGTTGCCTTCCAAATTTCTAGTAACAGACAGAGAAGTAGCAAAAAAAAAAAAAAAAAAAAGCAACACTCCAATACACTTTTTTTTTCTCCTTTTTTACTTACATTAAATACATTGGTAAATCAGCAGTCGCATTCTGTTACCACGATTGTTATGTTGGGAGAGGAAGAAAGGGGAAAAAAGGCAAATGCTTTCTTAGAAGCAAAAAAAAAAAATCAGAAGAAAAAAATGAAGAGCTGGGAAATAAAAACTAAGATTCCCTAAGCCCAACAGAGCTCAAAGGAAAGCAGAAGAGCTAATAGGAAGTAGAAGGAAGGCAGCAGATAGGCCCAGAAGCTAAGGCCAATCCTGTTCCTAAGGGGAGGGGAGAAGAAGCCTGGAGAAATGGTTTCCCAGCCCCAAGGCAACGAAACATCTTCACTACTGCTCCATGGGGAAAACTACACAGAGAAAGAACTTCATTTCTAAGAAACTTAAGAGAGCCATCGTAGTTCTTCCACTTGTAAGGATGCACTGGCTGCTCTAGGGGGCTAGTGGGTGCTGGGGAAAGGAGGGGAAAATGTGTATGTGTTTCAGGGCCATGGGAACTAAGGCTGCCCCTGGTAAAGGAAGGGAATTTAGGTGTAAGTGGAAGAACCTAAGCTGGGTCCTTCAGAATCTCAGCTTCATGGATTTCTCAGCTTCTCTGGGACAGAAGGCAGTCTGCAAGCCAAAAGGGCAGAAAGGTTCCAATCCTAGGTCACTATGGCCTCTCCTCTCTTATTCCCCCCAATCTCCTCAAAACCCTGGGCTAGAACAAGAAGGGATTTAGAGTTCTCTCTTGCCTTGATGGCTTCCCAAACACATCTTAAAATACCTGATGAGGGATGTGAAGAGAGACTAGAGATTTAGAAAGGACCAACATCCTCTGGTGATGTGAGACAGCTGTGAGGGACCTTCAGTGGCCAGTCGTTCCCTGTCCACAGGAACAGGTATTATATTAGGGGGCCACAAGTAGGCCTCTGTGGTACTACCCCCCCTAGTGGTATGTGGATTAAACCACTGGTTGCATGGGGGATGGGTTTGGGGGGTAAGCATGGAGAGACCGACCAAACTGAAGATACTAACAAAGGAGAAAAGAAACAGGGCCTAATGGGAGGTGGGGAATAGAACAGACTGTACAGTGGGAATAAAGATCATACCTATTTACAGGGAAGTAGAAAAGACATGGTAATGGGTGGATCAAATTGAATGGGAACCCTGGGAAAGGACAGAAAACTCCTCCCTCTTGCTGACTCCTCTTCACTCCCCTACAACGGCTTATGCTATCCTGAGACTGCTCTCCAGTTGCTCAATTAATTCCTCAGGAAAGGTAAACCTATACCCAAGAGTTAGGCTGGCAAGAATATAGGTGAAGTAACAATCAGAGTTGGAGGAAGCTAGCAGTGGAGACTGGGCTTGAGTAGCTGCCACCGGTACTGTTCTCTACAGCCCCTCCCCTAACCTCATATACACCTCGGATTCCACTTAATTAAAAAGTTAAGAGGGCAGGTAAATCAATCAAAACCCCCATAAAACAAGTATCACAACTGAACTACCATCAATTAAAGTGCAAACTGCAGGGGGATATCGTGGCTGGGGCTGAGGCCATCTGAAGGCCAGAGAGAAAAAAATGCATATGTGTAAGTCAGAGGATGGATGTCAGAAACTGGTCCCTCCTCCATTTAGATCACAGCAGAGCCAAAGATGCAGGCAACCAGTGAAGATTCTTTGGAGGACTCTGGGGTCCAGAATCTCCCCCACTATGGGGGAGAAGCTACCTAAGAGGCTGGGTGAGGGGAAAGTAAGCCTTAGAAGAGTTCCTGAGCCACAGATGACACTGCATCTCCACCTCTTCCACCTCTGCCCAGTTAGCTAACAAGACTCCAGCCTGGTGCCTGAGAGCTTGCCTTCACATTCTCACCTCTACCTAGAAACACCCTCCACAAGGCCAACTCAGTGTTTTCAAATATGAGAAACTCCAACCAAATAAAAACAAAAAGGAAATGTTTCCTTACTCCCCCTTGCTCTGAGCCTTACTTTCTCCCAGGGTCCTTAATGTGACTGAACTGGAAACCTCCTTCCTCACTTCCTGGGTTCACTACCTTCTCCATCCTGGGGAGAGGAAGAAAAGGGGATCAAGAAAAGAGACTGACCAAAAGCAGAAGGGGAAGGGGCAGGAGACAAAAAAAGAGTTTTCTGAAAAAATGGGGAGGAGGAGGAAAGATAATTAGGTCACTGTCTTGCACCTATAATACAAAGTGAAGAAAGTTTGTTTTGGAAGGTAAGTCCTGGGGGATCTGACCCCCAAGCCCCAGAGCAGGGGTAGGAGGCCAGTGGCAACAGCTGCCTGGTGTTGTTGCTGAAGCGTTAAAAAGTGCCATGACGGAGCTGTCAAGAGGCAGCCCTTGGGAGCCAGGGCCCAGTGTGCTGTTACCGTAGGGGCTGTGTGCTGAGCGGTGGGGATGGAGGTTATTTCTGAGCTCTCGTGCTAGCTCCATACTTGTTTGCCGCTAGCCACCCCCTCAGTTGCTACAACACTGGCTCTTGTTCTGCTGGGACTGCTCATGGAGATCCACACCCCGGCTTCGGCCTGCTGCACCCCCCAGATTCTGGGGTTCACTCTTTGGCAACTTCTTAGCTAGAGATAAAAACAGAAGGGAACAAAGTATGGTAGATTTTACTCATCCCCCCAGAAAAAGACTATTGGGGGAAAGTGGAAATGCGAGAAACTAAAAGAATGTTCCGAAGAGGGGAGGGTTCATTGTAAACTACATTGAAGACGAGGGGGCTCAAACTGCAGCCAAAGGATGGAGGTCACAATGGAAAGTTAAGGTATTTCCACACCTGAAGTTTTCATAAGAGGAGACGCTCCCATTTATCCTTATGACTTGGGTTAGTCATCTTGCCTAGAGGCAAGGGAAAACACACAGGAAGACCTTAGGCTGCTCTGACCTTACCTATTGCCAGGAAGAGATCGTTCACGTTCATAGCTGTCTTGGCTGAAGTCTCCATAAACAATAAGCTGTTGTCATCTGCATACGCCTGGGCCTCCTGCAAGGGGTGGGGTGTACTGGTAGTCAGACTGTAGGGCAGGAACAAGTACGGCCTTTCCACTCCCACGTAGCACCAGAGCTAGACAATATCCTAGGTTCCCTCCCCTTAACTGCCCCTCTGAGCCAGCTGGCCCTGGACCCATATTTTGGAGATGACTCCCTCAAGGGATAACCCATGGTCTAAAGCACTTAATCCAACAAATAGATGTCAGGAATCTTAATTACTGGGGAGGAGGTAAGTTGGTTGGGGGCTTTTGGGTTCTGACACTTGAGTATCCCTTACCTCAAATTCAACTGCTCCCTCCTTCCTCTTTTCATACTGGTACCCCCACAGCTGGTACTGGTACTTCCCTACCCCTCTGCTCTGGAATTTTCTTCTGACTCCTCTAAAATCTCCTGGCTGGCATTAGGGTCACAGTGTTGCTGTATTTAACTTGGTGCAGAACTGGGGAATGAGATGATGAATGTCCTGAGATGAGATTTTCAGAAAGGGCAGGTTTGGTAAAAAGAGGTCCCAAGCACAGAGGGAGTGTGTCAGAGAGGGACTCTGTGGCCACCTTACTTCGTACTCCACCATGCGCTTGTTGGCCAGGTCAGCTTTGTTCCCCGCCAGGGCAATAACGATGCTAGGACTGGCCTGTCGCTGTAGTTCCTTTACCCATGTCTTTGCTCGGGCGAAGGTTTCCTAGGAAAACACAAGGATGAGAATGAGTAGGCTGGCTCATTCAGCCTACTGACTGCCAATCCAGGCCCATCAACTTCAAAGCCCAGTCTCAAAACTCACCTCTTCTAAGCAGCCTTCACTCATTGAAACCACCTGTCTCTGGTAATTCATTACCTGTCTTCTCAGCACTTGGAAGCATAATCTGTATTCTTATTTTGCTATTTCAAGAACAAGTTTTCTCTCCCCCACCTATTTTAATTCCTATAAATAAAAGCAAGGACAATCTTCTCAGCCCACTTACCTGATTAGTAATGTCATAAACCACAATTGCAGCTTGGGCACCTCTGTAGTACATGGGGGCCAAGCTATGGTATCGCTCCTGCCCAGCTGTGTCCCAGATCTCAAACTTGACTGTTGTGTCATCTAGACAAACCGACTGGGTGAGGAAGGCCGCTACGAATAAGAGAACAGAAAAGTTGTTGTAAGTGGGAGGATGCATGGGAACATCCCACCCTCCTTCAAAATATCTCTACTTTGGGTCTAAGACAAGTCACCACCCAGGCCATTTAGCTACAGGAAAGGTTTAGCATTCTCCTCCTTACACACAAGAAAGGTTTAGCATTTTCCTTCAGATCTTGGAACCAGAATTAAGCCTGCTCTTGGCTAAGTCCTCCCTGCCAGAAGTTTCTCTAGCTAAGGAATGGGGGAACATCATAAACTCTGAGGGACAGAAAGAACTGGCATTTATACCAGAGTCATCCCTCTTCTAACCAAAATAGAGGAGTAAGAGATAATGACGGAGATAATAAGCTTCAGATAAAAGTCACATCAAGAACTGATTAGAGGGCTTCCCTGGTGGCGTAGTGGTTGAGAGTCCGCCTGCCGATGCAGGGGACATGGGTTCGTGCCCCAGTCTGGGAAGATCCCACATGCCGCGGAGCGGCTGGGCCCGTGAGCCATGGCCGCTGAGCCTGCGCGTCCAGAGCCTGTGCTCTGCAACGGAAGAGGCCACAACAGTGAGAGGCCCGCGTACCGAAGATAAAAAAAAAAGAACTGATTAGACAGGGACTTCCCTGGTGGCACAGTGGTTAAGAATCCGCCTGCCAATGCAGGGGACACGGGTTCAAGCCCTGGTCCGGGAAGATCTCACATGCCGCGGAGCAACTAAGCCCGTGTGCCACAACTACTGAGCCCACACTTTACAGCCTGTGAGCCACAACTGAGCCCGCCTGCCACAACTACTGAAGCTCACGCACCTAGAGCCCGTGCTCTGCAACAAGCAAAGCCACTGCAATGAGAAGCCCGCGCACCACAACAAAGCGTAGCCCCCGCTCGCCGCAACTAGAGAAAGCCTGCACGCAGGAACGAAGACCCAACACAGCCAAAAATAAATAAAATAATAAAAAAAAAAAACTGATTAGACGATTTTAAAGCCTGTTGTGAGGTCCCACCATTATCAGTATTATTTGGCTGTTATTTTTTCATATTACCTCTGCTGGTCAAAGAACATATTTCCAAAGTGACTTGGAAATAAGTCACCCCCCCAATAAAAGTGGGGAAGGAGTTAACATGGGAGTTCTCATAAAAGACCCTTTATTGTATTACCACCCTATTTTGGGGTAGTGGCAAAGAGAAGGTAGCAAAGGTGGGAAAAGCAGATTCCTTTACGTTTTGTATTTAGTTCTAACCTCTATTTTACCAGATATGTGCATCAGGATCAGCTAAGGAGCTTTTCCAAACATACATGTCTACATTGCCACCAACCTCACTCTACCTCCAATACTAATCAGTAGATCTAGGGTAGGGCCCAAGCATGCATAGGATGAAAATGCTCCCTAGGTGATTCTGATGTACATCTCTGATTATGAGCCACTGCCCCAAAGCAACCCTGCTCAAGATGACACTCAACTGAACTTCACTGGCATTAAGATGAGAGTGGGAGGAGGAAAACAGATTAAAAAATTAGTGGTTTTCTTGGCGCTCAAAGGCCAACCTTTCTAACTTTCTTCTAGGAAGTAAGAGGATGAACATGGACTTGCTTTTGGGCATTATGGCAATTTTTTTTGTTTCTTAAAGGATTTCCATTCCAGGGAGCTAAGAGGGCCAGCTCCACAAACAGATCCCTAGATCTCCCTTCAAAAGCCCTTCTAAGCATTGAAACTCTTCTCTCCCTGAAGTACTCACCTCCAATGGTGCTCTCCTGGTACTCGTGGAACTGCCCTTTGACAAAACGTAATACCAGGCTAGACTTCCCCACTGCAGATTCACCCAGCAGGACCAATTTGAACTGGCATATTTTGCTGGCCTGGGGCTGCCCATTGGGCCTGGCTGTGCTTCTGCTAGTCATGGCTAGATTATCAGAATGGGAAAGGGTAGAGGGAGGGGGATGCCACAGAGCGGCAGAGGGGGGAGGGGGGAGGGGAGGGGACTTCCAGGCTTCAACAGTCCTGCAAGAAAAAAAGGAGGTAAAATTAAACACAGGGCCATTGCAGCTGCAGTCACTTTTTAGAAAAAGGACAGAATCTCTTCATTTCTTTGCTCCTATGAGGACTTAACTCTTACAATCACCCACCATTAAAAGGTTACACCACTGAGAGGGTCCCAGGCACCTGACACTCACTGGTAAGAGTGGGGAACAGTAAAATAAGAATTGCATCTAAAGTACAGTGTGCTGAAATGGAGAGACTGAAAACCACGTGAGAGTAGTTTTTAATCTCCCAATCATTCCCCACCAGGTCTTCAAAGAACAGCATATTGATCAACTTTTAGTTGGCTTGAAGAGCACCCAGATCCACCCAAAAGTACCCTAGATCCCTACTATCTCCTTGGTGTCCTGGTGCTGTCCTTTTTTTATCCCCTCTTTTTTCTAGCTTTCAAAATGAGAAATTCACTCTAGGGGTATGGGATAAGAGTCACCCATCCTAAGAGTAGAGGGATAGCTTCTGGTTCTATATCCTTCTTACACGACCATTTCTGAAAATTGACATTTCTGAAAATATAACCAGGGTCCAGTGATCAGAAAATCCATCCTTTCTCATTTCTGATCACAGGTAATAGAGAGGGCTTCCCTGGTGGCGCAGTGGTTGAGAGTCCGCCTGCTGATGCAGGGGACATGGGTTCGTGCCCCGGTCCAGGAAGATCCCACATGCCGCGGAGCGGCGAGGCCCGTGAGCCATGGCCGCTGAGCCTGCGTGTCCGGAGCCTGTGCTCCGCAACGGGAGAGGCCACAAGAGTGAGAGGCCCGCGTACCACAAAAAAAAAAAAAAAAGGTAATAGAGAAACAGACCACATTGAGTATTAACTCTTTCACTTTTCTTCTGCCACCTCTCCAAGTCTGAAAATCTATCAAGTCTGAGTCAGTAGGCCTGACTTACTCTCAACTTGCAGCTGTCTTCCTGGTGCCTAGGGATTAGACTACCCTCCACACTGAAAGGGCCTAACAGCTGTAGCCCTCTAAGTTAGAGGCAGAGAAAGAAGGTGTACCTTCTAAACACATGCGGGAATCTCCGGTAGATGGTATAGGGGATAAGTCTTCAAGCAATAAATACTTGATGAAAGAATAAAACTGAACCACCTTCTCTACCTTCCAAGCGGCTAGGAAAGCTGGTGGTGGAGGAGGAGACAGAGAGAGAGAGAAAGTTGGGACTTTGAGTGTCCAATCATCCAAACCTGAATATATTTCATCATCCTGACTCTGGCGGGAAAGGAACTGTGAGATTCAAAGAAGTGTTAGCATGATCACAGCATGTAAACCTATCCCCAAAACCTAAGCGTTGCTTGGATTATACTTTACTTGTTCAAATTAATCTTTCCCTTCTCCAAGGTTGATTCTAGTGACTCCATAAACATCATACTCTGTGACATATACGGGGAAACATTATTTTTTCACTATAGCAAATTGCTTTGGGATCAAATCAGGGTTAAAAATATCTGCAATCCTAGTAAAGACACAAAAACCATACAGGAGGAGGTGTAGAGGAACAAAGGCTGTGGAGTCCAATTCACTGGATTTATTTTATAGTTCTGATTACTAGCTTTAAATCTTTGGACAATTTACTAAATCTACCTGTGCATTTGTTTCCTCATCTGTAAAATGGGATAATAGCCTATGAGTACCTAATTCATAAGGTTGTTGTGAGGATTAAATGAGATAATACAAAGAACTCAAATATTTGACAAAAAGTGCTATATCAATGAATATAAAGGTACTAATCATTACTAATATGATATCAAGAAAATTTCTCTGCTGAGCCTTACCTTCCACCTTTTTAAAAAAAATTTATTTATTTAATTTATGTATTATTTTTGGCTGTGTTGGACCCTCGGTGCTGTGTGCGGGCCTTCTCTAGTTGCAGCAAGCGGGGCTTCTCTTGTTGTGGAGCACGGGGTCCAGGTGTGCAGGCTTCAGTAGTTGTGGCATGCGTGCTCAGCAGTTGTGGTGCACAGGCTTAGCTGCTGCGAGGCATGTGGGATCTTCCCGGACCAGGGCTTGAACCCGTGTCCCCTGCATTGGCAGGCGGATTCCCAACCACTGTGACACCAGGGAAGCCCTCACCTTTATAAAATGGAAAAAATACCTACCTCATAGAGTAGCCCTGAGGATTAAGTGAAACATTTGTGTAACATAGTATTAACGAATAGTAAGACAGGTATTGTTGGGCTTCCCTGGTGGTGCAGTGGTTGAGAATCTGCCTGCCAATGCAGTGGACACAGGTTCGAGCCCTGGTCTGGGAAGATCCCACATGCCACGGAGCAACTAGGCCCGTGAGCCACAACTACTGAGCCTGCGCGTCTGGAGCCTGTGCTCCCAACAAGAGAGGCCGCGATAATGAGAGGCCCACGCACCTCGATGAAGAGTGGCCCCCACTTGCCGCAACTAGAGAAAGCCCTTGCACAGAAACGAAGACCCAACACAGCCAAAAATAAATAAATAAATAAATTTTAAAAAATAAAATAAAAAATGAAAAAAAGAAACTGCCAAAGTGTTTAAAAAACAAAAAGACAGCTATTGTTATTTAATGACCCTGATTCACAGAAAAGATCAATTTAATATATTAAAGGATATCTCAATATTAGTTGTTATCAATATATGCCTAAAGAGCAGCCATGATATGAAAGAGGTAGAGAAAAAAAACAGGAAAAAAAAAGTGTAAAGAGGGAGTTAACGGAGAAATGAGATTGAAATGAGAACGCAGACAAATCCCAAAGTAGACCAGATTAAGACAGAGGGCTGTAAGAAATTACTCTGATCCTACTGGGTATTCTGTAGTCCCCTAGGCCACGGAGTCCCAAGAATCCACATATACATGTGCCACTTTGTGATGAAGTTTTCACTGGTCTGTGATGAAATGATTAAATAAAAATGATATACTGGGGACCTCCCTGGTGGTCCAGTGGCTAAGACTCCGAGCTCCCAATGCAGGGGGCCCGGGTTTGATCCCCGACCAGGGAACTAGATCCCGTGTGCCACAACTAAGACCTGATGCAGCCAAATAAATAAATAAATAAATATATATATTGGGCTTCCCTGGTGGCGCAGTGGTTGAGAGTCCACCTGCCGATGCAGGGGACACGGGTTCGTGCCCCGGTCCGGGAAGATCCCACATGCCGCAGAGCGGCTGGGCCCGTGGGCCATGGCTGCTGAGCCTGTGCTCCGCAACGGGAGAGGCCACAACAGTGAGAAGCCCGCGTACTGCAAAAAAAAAAAAAAAAAAGATATAGCAAGTTCTTCATAAAGCTAAATTTATTCATTTTAGGAGTTTCCTTTATAACAAGATTTCTAACTTACATTTTTTGTATCAGTTTTCCCTCAAAGGTAAATATGTATTTTTTGCATGGATAAACCTCTAAGACCTATTGTTAAAAGTTAAAAAAAAAAGTTGGAGAACAAAACATGTGGTTGATCCTATTTCTATAAAACAAAGCAACATTCTGCAGAGAAAAAGGTACGGGAAGATACACACTCATCTGTTAACAGTGGTTACCTCCCTCTAAGGAGAGTGGGATTGAGGAAAACGGTATGTGAAGGACTCAGGTGTTTTCATTCCACATAATTCTTTCTTTTTTTAACAGGAAATATATATTTTTAAAGTTTCCTACATAACTTTTTAAAAAATTGCTTTTTTTAAAAAAAAATTACAAATAATGGTGTTGATAGGCAGTAGTAAGCTTTCTAAATATACTTATGTGGAAAAATAGAAACCCCCAAATTTAAATTAATTGGTCCATTAAATCCAAAATTCTGGGAACCAGTACTGCAAAAATCAGTATTAATTAGCTTCTTAACCACCAGTCACAGTTCTTTAGCTCTTTTCATCCTCAAACCTTTAGAGCAGTGTTTCTCAAACTGTGGGCTGTAAGCCAATAGTGACCTTGAAATCACTTGCTGGATCATGATCAGTATATTTAAAAAAAGAAAAAAAGAAAAAATAAATAGAAAAAAATCAAGTGATTGCAAATAATAAGCATGAGAATAATTTTGTGAAAATGTTTCACTTGTGGGTGTATGTACATACACTGAATTATGATGTAAAAATAAATTTTTTTTTTAATGAGTCACAATCAAAAAAAGTTAAAAAAACACTGCTTTGGAGAGGCCTGAAACTGAAAGATGGGTTAGTAGGAAGTCTAGTCTCTGGCCAGCCTATAAAAGCACTTCCAGGTGAAATTAAGATGAGGGTTTAATATAGCTCTCCAGGGGTCAGAGGTTCTCCAACCCTGCTACTAAAGTTATAGAGCAATTATGAAAATGGAAAGTTAAAGTCAACAGAGGCAGTCCTGCACAGTGGTAAGGGCTCTGGAATCAGGCAAGCCTGAGTTTTATTCTCTGCTTTGCCAATTAACCCACTGTGATTTAGGCCACTCACTCCCTTTGCCTTTCTAAGCTTCAGTTTCCTTACCTATGAGGATCCGGGGATGGGGCAGGGAGTATAATAGGTGAAAGTAGTAAAAGGCAGAATTTGAATTCAATTCCAAAGTTCTGGGTACATTTAAGAAATGTGTTTCTCTTAGGGTTTCTCAGCATCTGCAAGAATTATTTTTAAAAACACATTTATGGGGCTTCCCTGGTGGCGCAGTGGTTGAGAGTCCGCCTGCTGATGCAGGGGACACGGGTTCATGCCCCGGTCCGGGAAGATCTCACATGCCGCAGAGCGGCTGGGCCCGTGAGCCATGGCCGCTGAGCCTGAGCGTCCGGAGCCTGTGCTCCACAACGGGAGAGGCCGCAACAGTGAGAGGCCCGCGTACTGCAAAAAACAAACAAACAAACAAAAAAGACAAAAAAAACCATTTACGTAGTACTTCATATACATTGTTTCATAGGAAAAGAGGATAGGCCATCATAACTCTACACTTTACAACAGAAAACAGATTACACAATAAGAAAAAAACCTCTACAGATCATAAGCTGATCAAGTTTCCTTTAGGTTGACACACATACACTATACTCTTAAAAAACAACAGAAAAAAAGTTACTAGATTCTTCAACTTACTCCCTCACATTTCAAAGCATGTGATCCAAAGAGCAGAACACTAAGTTAGAGTGGACTGAATTCTCATCGGCAGACACGTCTCTCTAGGCCTGGGAAAACAGTAGGGAGTTGGAGAAGTGTGAAGATAGGAAACAGTTGGGAATTCCCTGACGGTCCAGTGGTTAGGACTCTGTGCTTCCACTGCCGCAGCCCGGGTTCAACCTGCAAGCTGCGCGGCACGGCCAGAAAAAAAAAAAAAAGAGGAAACAGTCACAGACACACGGATTGGTCACTAACCCCCACAGATAAATCAACCCAGAGCCAATCGGCAAACTCTATTGAACTGTCAGAGATTAGTAACTATGGGGTTAGAAAAGACTATCTCCCACTCCAATGTTTCAGCTCAAGAATATGTCCTACCCTCTCTGTTCACAGTAATTGATGGGCTGCCCATCTCTGTGCCTTGATCTTTAATCCCAACATGTTAATAAGGGTATCATGTTTCTTACGCAATAGCTAGACTCTCAAAAGATCAGGGGTACAGAAATGGAATAATACATATAAGATTCAATTGATTTCTCCCCTATTCTAGCAGTGATTTTTTTGCTACCAGTTGACAGTGGGCAAATGATCCATCCAAAGGCAAAAAATAAATCACAGCCAACCAGTCAAGTGGTGTGATGATTATTGCCTTCAAACCTGAGGCAAAAAAAGGGAGGTTTTTCTTCCCTTCAACACTTTCAGTTCAGATGAGAAGAAATGACAGCTTCCCTCAGAAGTGCAGCCCCACAAGAATGGCTCATCAAATGACCATTAACTGGGCCTCCCTGGTGGTGCAGTGGTTAAGAATCCGCCTGCCAATGCAGGGGACACGGGTTCTAAGCCCTGGCCCAGGAAGATCCCACATGCCGCGGAGCAACTAAGCCCGTGAGCCACAACTACTGAGCCTGCGCTCTGAGCCCACGTGCTGCAACTACCAAAGCCCATGAGCCTAGAGCCCGTGCTCCGCAACAAGAGAAGCCACTGCAATGAGAAGCCCACAAGCCACAACGAAGAGGAGCCCCAGCTCACTGCAACTACAGAAAGCCGGCGTGCAGCAACGAAGACTCAACACAGCCAAAAATAAATAAATAAAATAAATAAATTTATATTAAAAAAATGACCATTAAGGAGGATTAAGGCATGACATCATCAGTCTATTGGGGAAGGGAGAGGTGGAGGATGAGGGGCAAGTTCTTTAGTGTGAGCAGCTCTCCCAGCAGCACAGGGAAATATGAATAGGAAAGGTTTCTTAGGGACTTCCCTGGCAGCCCAGTGGTTAAGACTCTGAGCTTCCACTGCAGGGGGCACGGGTTCAATCACTGGTTGGGGAACTAAGATCCCGCAAGCTGTGTGGCCAAGAAAAAGGAAAGGTTTCTTAGCCTGCCGAAACCTGAGGAATGGAGTCTGCCTAGGGCAAGACTCCATTCCTCAGATTCCTTCCCACTTGGTAGCTTTGGGTTCCTATGCCAACTACATATGAAGCCTCCAGAAGTCTGTCATCTACCAATAGAGACTGAGTTCAAGGCACAGAGCCACTGGAGTCTAGCCCCCTCCCAAATGTTAGCCCTGTAAGTTCAGTTTGCCAGATAAGAGGCAGTTTAGAGGTCACCTAGTCCAGTCTATATTTTACAGAGAGGAAACTGAGGCAAATAAAATGAACCAGCTTGCCAGGTGTTATCACACAGCCAGTTTTCACACAACTGCTTAGTAGCAAGTCTCCTTCTAGCAAGTACTCTCAGCC